ATTTTATCCTAGATGCTTGGCTCAAAGACCTTAACCAATGATTTTTTTTTTCTCTATCTGCTGTACGAAAGCTAAATATAAACCCACGTTATTGAACAAAACCCTAACAAAACCCCTGTTGCAGGTCTAGAAAAATCTTTACACAGAAAATTGAATTATTGGAGACCAGCATCTAAAGTGTCATTTGGTTTTGGATGCTTCTTTGTTTTGTGTACACAATTTGGCATACAGAAAAATGTTATTTCCAGCAGCAAATATTTGCCTTATGTTCTTTTTATCTTCTCCTATTTGCCTTTTCTTCTCCTGCCCTCAGAAAGCCAGGGCCTGAGTGTTTCTGTATGGGTAGCTAAAGTTCCTTCTGAAAATGCAGATTAGTCTAATTTATCCATACAAGTATGTACATTATGTGTGTCTACTGTTTGTCTGGGGAGAGTCTTAATGACTTTTCCGCTGATTGGTTGTGGGACCACAAGTAAGTCATAAAGCTAGCCCGTGCCTCAGTTTACCCGCTGCAGCTTCATTAATGCTAACCTAGCTCATGAGGTGCTGTAATGTTTAATATATTGTGTGCTCTGTAATCCCTGGATTAAATGTATTATGTAAGTGAAAAGCACCTATTTGATGTATATGCAAATGCTGCAGTATTATATAGGTAGGAGGGTCATTTGGGTGTAAGTGTAATACAGGCGCTGGCAAAGGGCAAAAGGGATTCCATTGTATTGACTTATTTTTAAAGAGCTTTTTATTTACTGAAATGCTCTGGACACCCAGAAAGAGAGACATTCCTCACTAAGCATGTCTGCTGTTTCATCTGTCTCGAAGCGCTTTGATAAATGGATTGAAACTTGTCAGCTTTTCCTGTAGTTTCTGAGACTCCCTCTGGAAACCCTGTTGAAATGTTATTATGGTAACTTCTTAGAGCGCTACTTAATGAATTGTAACAGATATCCCTGCTGAGTCCCACAGAAGCTGTGAGGACTGTGCTTCCTCTCCTCCTCCGGCAGAAGCAAGTCCCTGAGCCTTGAAAGCTCTCGTCCTCCTCCACCATGTGGAAATCACCACAGGCCTGTGCCGTGGAGACCACCACGGGCCTGTGCCTGGCCTGCCTCACAGCTGGGCTGCCGGTGGGCCTTCAGTGATGTTGAGCACAGTGGGATGTCATCCCTTTCTGTTTTAATGGTAAATTGTAGAAAGGATAACAAATTTTCAAGGGTTTAAGTGAGTGCGAGGTGATCTTCTCTTTGCTTAGGATGAGGTATTTCAGCTTGAGCTATCCTGAAGCTTGGGCTGGTGACCCGGGTGCCTATGCACAGTCTGAGCTCACACTACCCACAGATCCCACTTGCAGCCTTTTCTCGGGCAACCTGTCATGATGGATGGAGGCCACCAGGAAATTCCACCATCCATCCACACAGCAGGTAAACCTGGCAGCTCTTCTGAATCCTGGGGATAGCCCAGCAGGATCATTAGATCTTCCTGAGGATATTTGCTGATGAGGTGGGCAGGGTGACTGACATAGACACATACGTGGTGTGGAGTTGGAGTGTGGAAGCCAACCACCTTGGGGTCACCTTGGGATGCACTACATTTCCTACTCTGTTGCATCAACCAGTGGGGCAATGAGATGCCATGGTGACTTCTTATTTCCTACGTCCAGCCAACCAACAGGACTCCTGCTCCTCCTCTGCTTCCCCTAGAGCAGGGGGTATGTGACTGGTGATATGGTTAGGTAGGCTAGGTAGCTTGGTTGTGCTGGGTATGGTCAGCGATCCTCATCCTGATGCATCAGTCACTTGAAACGCTAAAAGTGGTTTGGGTTTTTTGTTTGGTAGTGTGGGGTTTTTTGTAGTTCTTGTTCGGCTTTTTTTTTAAAGTCTTCCCTGTGTTTTGCTGTTTGTTTGTTAGGTTTTTTAAGAGTACAAAGTTGATCTATTGCTACTTAAGCTGTCATGAAGTGAGAAATGGCTAAAGGCACAGTTCCAGCAGCATTAACAGCTGTGCCCCTTGCCCTGCCTGGTACGGCTGACACGTGCCTGCAGTAGATAGCACTGGTCATCTCCAGCTTGAAAAATATCAGCATGCCTTCCTCTTGCCTCCAAAAATGAACTTGGGCCATCTAGAGTGAGGTATGCAGGAAGATGGGGGGTTGGGGTGTTGAAGGAGCTCCTGCTCTGTTTGGCATTGGAGCAGAACTGCAAATAGTCTAGGTATAGGTCACCTTTCTGTGGTGAGGCCTCGGAGGTGACTCCATTACCCTCAGCGCGTTGAGGCCATGTTTGATTTATGCAGCCTTTTATTTCACTTTTTATTATCATTTTGCATATTAAAATTTGTATAGGCAGCCAGAAGAGAGCAGCATCTACACAATACTCGACACAATGGAGAGGATTAGAAATCAGTGTCTCTCTTCTCTGGGACCTGGACTGGGGGGTAAGGGGTGCTAAAGCATCGTTTATTTATTCTTTGTTTTAAAAGTACTTCCAATTATTCCTTTCTGTGGATCCTCAGTAAAATATAATCTATGACCAATACCAATGTCTGATTTCAGTTGCTAGATTCAAAAAATTATATAAAACCAAGGCTACCATGGTCTTTTTCCTGAGATGTTCACCTTTTTCTTTTAAAGTTTCTTCACTCTTCTCAGCCAGACCAAATATATCAGTGTGCATACATAGGTGATGCCAAGATATGATTTATTTTTTTCAAAAATAATTCCTGATTTAGGATTTTTTTTTTTTTTTTGGTATTTTAGCTGCCTTTGCATTAAATTCCTCCAATAGTCTAATTCACACTAGGAATGCTCTGGAAATCAAACCTACTAAAGTCATCTCTGTTTATTCCTCCCGAAGTGAAATCATCCATGTCCTCCTGGCTCTCGTGAGATCCTGGGGGAAACTGTTTGCACACACACATTGACACATCTTTAGAGCATTCCACACAAGCCAGTGAAATTACACCAGAAATATGAATTTAGACCACACCGCGTGTGTGTGCTGTGCTGTTTGTATAGTGTACACACACATGCCCCAGCAAACACTCTGATTTAAATTTCAGAAAAAGCCATTCAAGACATTGCTGTGTAATTCACTTTATGACTGTACACTGTATGCATTCCTAGAAAACGAACGTGTATTCTGTGAATGTTCCCACTTTACAAAAATATTTGACTTGGGTTTATTTTATTTTATTTTTTTAATATTGAGGGTTTAGAAATCTTAGTAATTGTCACGATTACCGTGTGTAATAGAAATTAGAAGGAAGCCTGGGTTTTGGCTTTGAAGCTACCAACTTCTAAGAGTACATTTCTTAAGTTTTCTTTTTAAGGTGCTTCTTCATGCCTCAGCTAAACTTTCCCCAGATTACGTGTTAGCTGTGATAGCTGTTCTATAGTTAGATTTTAATCAGCCTTAGTACACAGTAATGTTAAACACTGAAAGAGCTACTAATTAATCGCCTTTCTGTATGTAACAGAGAGATAAATATCCATCCCAGAGGAATTGTAATTTCATGGTTTCTAATGATGGTTAGATTACATTATCTGGATCACTTAGGCTGTGGGTGTCATAAAAAATGCTCAAAGTCATTTATATTCAGTTTAATTTTTTTTTTAACTTTGTAAGCCTGAGAAAATAATGCGGTGTTAGCAAGTCTGTTTCATATTTTAGTTAAATATACCTTTGTTGCACTGACTGAATGGATTCAGATGACAGTGACAAACTCAGTTCTTTTCTATTTAACATGCACCCTCAGCAATCAAATTAACAATGTACAAATCTTCATCAGGCTTCTGCAGAAGAGTCTGTTGAATTCTGCAGTGTTGTTGAGCTTTAGAGAAAAAAAATATTTTGGGATGTTCACTTGAAGTGATGCTAATTCTTGCATCATTCTGTAAAGTCATAGTTGTCTGTCTTAAAATAAGATTAACTGGACTTTGGGTTTTTATCGGGCTGCATCTCAAATAAAATACTGCAATCCAACAACTCTGTCAGCAGTTTGTACCTCTCATTTTCCCCTCTCCACTCTTAACTGATTGGTGTCCGTGCACAACTTGTGTGCCTACACATCTGTGTCCATGACACACTTAAATTTGGTAGCTACAAAATGTTGAAAAAAAATCCTGCTCCATGTGTGTAATAGCTAATAGTTGCATATTTTGAAGTTACACTCATTCATATTTAAAAGGCTGAGGCTTCTTTGAACTGCTGTGTTGGAGGGGGAAGTTAATTGTTTCTGAATGAGGATGATACTCCCTTTCCATATCAATTATGTGTACCGCTCCAAATTATCAATAATGCTCATTTCCAGTCCCCATCGTTTGTGGTTTCGCAGTGGGCGAGTGTGCTTGCAGAGCGCTGCCCGGGCTCCATCCTGTATCCGCCAGGAACCAGGGGGAGGGAGGCAGCCCCGGAGGAGCAAGGTGAGATACAGAAATGTGATATATTTCCAAGAGAGGGTTTGTCATCAGTTAGCTAAAATTGCTTCTGAAGTTTCGCTGGCAACTGTTTTACATGTCTGACTTGGTGACTAAGGAACTATACTATCTTAATAGAGAACTCCAGAACTTCAGAAGGGTTTCTTCTTGTTTGAATGCACAGCACAATGAATTTGTACCCACAGAGCATTCACCACTTACATTTCAAAACCTACAGCACACTAAACGTGAAACTTTTGTTCAAATTTCAAGGATTTTGATAGCCCAAGTGAATAGACACTGCCTATTGATTTTTCCCTTACAATGACTCTTGGATAACCTATTTTCTCATTTATTTTTAACGACAGCTCATGAGATTTTACAGCAATTCTGCCCAACCTCCTAATATCAAAATCCCTCCTTGACCCTGAAAATTGTAATTCTGCTATAGATCACAGCTGCTGAATATTACCTTTTACTAAGCTGGTTAAATAAAATATGTCCAAATCACTAGATCCCACAGGCCATGACTGCAATTCTAATTATGCAGGGTCTGTATTTCTGCTCTGCCGTACAGAAAAGCACATCTCTCTCTGAGTCCACACCAAAGTGTGGGAATCCAGAATATTGGTTCTAGTTTTGAATTAAAAAAAAAAAAAAAAAAAAAAAAAAAAAAAAAAAAAGTTACACTGCTCTTCAATGATTTCCCAGTAAAACTTTTACAAGGGAACCAAATGCTTTTGATGTGTTCCGTACAATAAAATGCTGTGTAAGTCTGGAGGACAGAAGCATGTGGCGAGAATTTTCTTGTGACTGGGGGATGGGTGTATTTGATGTGTACCCATTTCAAAATCAAAAAAAAAAAGTCACTACTCTTATGCTGCATATTCTGCACAATGGCTTGGGAAACCAATGTAAGGAAACTAATTCTGGCCATTAAACATATCCTCTCCCCTCCCACTGCTTATTCAAAGAGTGATCACATGCTCCCTGCTGCAAGTTACACCATTATAGAATTTAGATATGGAAGAAACCTATTAGATTAGCTGTTCCACCTACTGATGTGGGATTGTTCCCTGGAGAACTTTATTCATTAGTGGATCACAGCCTAACCTTGTGGGCACACTGTGCCAAGACCATCTTGGTTTTGTTCTGTTCTTTTTCCCCTTTCCTTCCCCTCTGGTGCTGAGAGAGCAGCTGAGGGTATGGTTTGGTAGGGAGCATGATGGAGAAGATGGGATTCTTTAGTTTCGTGGTCAGACTGGTGGTTCGGATGCTTACGTATTTAAATGGATGATTAATTTGTGTGCTTTTTAAATTAGTATCCAAGCACAGAGGACTAGATGAGGATGGGAGTGGAGGGAGAGCCTTATTCACTATAAGACTTTCTGGAGCTCAATGGTCTTTAACAGTAAATTGCCTTCATGACTTGCCCTGATTTTGCAGTATCCTCAGATCTAGTCTCCATTTTGCTTTCTCCATTCAGTCTTTTTGTGAGCAGATGGAGACAAAGTTTTAATTGCTTGTCTGCCAGTGGAGGCAGCTTGGCATTTTCGTGCTTTTCCAGGACAGAAAGTTTTTATTTCAGTTATTTTAGGGCCTGATCCCATAAAACCCTGACCTTGGCATGCTGCGTGGTTCTGCCCACTGATGGGGAGCTTTCAGATGGGTTTTGTACCCTAAACCTTTCATGTCACCTTTTGTTTTTCTGGTACCTTTATGTAGCAACTTGTCTTTTCCAGAATCCCTCTGAGGACCTTGGTGCCAGCCAGTTCTGTAACTAGCATCTCAAGCCTGTTCCTTATTTAAGTTAATTTGTTTCTACCTTGTGGGAGCTGCCAGTTATCTGCTGTTCTGGCCCATGTGGGCATGAGCCCTGCACCCAGGTTCAGTTGTGCCTTTCCTCCACAGTCTACCCATGCATGGACTGCCCCTCCAGGCTTCTGCAAAGTCCCCAGCAGTGAATGAAACCAGGGTCCAGAGAGGTTTGTCCATTAGCAGACATTTTCTGACCCCAGCAGGGACCAGCATGAGTCCTGCAGAGCCCAGACAAGGCTCAGGGAACCACCACCAAACCTTGCATCTTTTGGAGATGCATTCCCCCTTGTCCAAGGGCCCGGTCCTCAGAGCTTTCCTTCAGTTAACTGAGACTGAGAAAAGTGTGAGGAAGAGGAGGAAAAGCAACCACTTCTCTGCTGCTGATCCAAAGCTCTGGTTTCCACCCTCAGAATATAATAAATGGCTGCTGAGTTACTTGACATGGAGCTAAAGTCTGTAGGGTGAATTTTCAGAGCAACGCACAGGAAATTATATGCACAATTACTGTTGTTAACAGAGCCTGGGCATGTAACTCCCTGCACAGCAGGCTGGAAATCTTCCCCGTGCATGTTTAATGGGGTTTGGGTTGTTACATTCCTAGGGCTGTGTCCCTTTTCTAATGCCTAGTGTCCTGGATGAAACAAAGGAAGTACTGAATGTAAAAGAGATTTTATTTTGTTATTAAAATAATATTCTCTTGATCTGCAGTCTTCCTCTAATGCCAAATAACTTCTTGCCTCACTCGGTGATCCCTTAACCTTTCTATTCTGTGAGAAAAAAAAAAAAAAAAAAAAAAAAAAACGTGGCTTAATTTATTTATTTCTTCTTCTTCTAAATGTATTCCACATAACCTGCTCATCGATGTTCATACAAATGAGTGTATACGTGTTCATACAGGCAGCACAGTTATTCTAGTGATGGATGTTGTTGAAATAAGTGTAGGTCATAACACAGAAAATATTTATCTAAATCTTAATGCATAAATGCCTCTGAGTAAATAATATATTTGCACATCTTCATAAGAAAATGAATAGTATGTGCCATTTCACTAAGCAGTCATGTATTTAAAATGTCTCACTGCTCAGGAGGTTATTAATGTGTTATTTAAACTTTACCCTGTTGTAAACTAGGAAAGGTTTGTAAATGAGGGGTTGTGTTTTGCTTCCATGCTGTTTATTTAGTTTTATGTATGTCAATTGTTTTTCTTTCCCCTGAAGAAGGTTATCTCCTGCACCTAGATCAATTCAAATGGACTTTAATTAACTTTGATAAAAATTAAATTACTCCTTTCACCTGGTAGTTTTGCAGCTAAAAGGAGCTTATATTTATGGCTGTGCAGTCTTATTGATTGAAATTTTCTTCTACCCAAGTTATGCTTGACTCCAGCTTTCTGCAAGGTCTTGAAGGAAAAAAGCAAGGTGCTGTAAACTGAGACTAGAAACACCAAAGTAAACACACACATCATATATATATATAAATACATCAAATACATATACAAGTTTCTAAAAGGTTTCAATCATTCTAAAATTGCACATGATTGCTCTTCAGCTCCCCAAAATGCTTTCATCTATGAGCAGAAAAAAGTGTAGCTTTCTCAAGTTTTAAAAGCATTGTTGGGGCATGTCTAATAGATTTGTCTAACTCTGTATGTCTTGATATATGCAGCATGGCTGGCTGTATTCTCCTCAGCATAGATCTTGAAACTGTAAATAAATTTTTGAAGTAAATAGTCACTTGATAATTGCTTAATGAAGTATCACACACCAGCAGTTTTGAATACAAAAAAAAAAAAGTTCAAAACTACCGTGCGGTGTCTCTTTTTACTGGAAACGGGCTTTTACTTTTAAACTTCTGTTATATTTGGAGAGAAGTAATCCCAAGGAAAATGATACCAGTACTAATAGGGAACATACTATCTTTCATGTGGCTATTTTTTTCATGTTTAAGGTTTCTTTGTTATTATCTCAGTAGCAAGACTCTCCACACAGTCTTAGGCAGAAAATCAAAATATGCCTTAAAGCAATAATCTTTTAATAAGTATCAAATGTCTTTCAATGAGATAAAAGAATTCTGTAGCATGCTTATACACACACACGCACATACACTTCACCATAAATCTTATTTTATACCTTTTCAACAGTATTTCAGGGAATACATACATATATATATATATATATATTTAACCAAGACTAAGCCCTCTTCACAAATTTGAGATGATTGAATTTCTAGATGCTACTAAGATTCTGCTAAAATTCATCTCTCCACTTTCTCAGGCTCCTTGTTCAGGGGTCTTTGGAAGGTGAGAGCATCTCCTATGGTCTCGGATGTTCCAGTCAGCCAAAACAGGGGCATTGCTCCAAACTTCATTAAGACACCAGCCTGGAGAATAGAGGCTCTTTGCACTGATTTTTCAGGAGTGCAGGATGTGTATTAGCATATCTGCGTCTGGTATCCCGGTGCAATGCTCAGCAGCTTACCCCCGGCTGTGACATGCAAAGCATAGTGCTTCCCTCATGCTGTTGGAGTGCATGTGCTTTGTGCTCAGATCCTCTCCTGTCTGTGGTGTGAACCAGGAGTATTTCCACCCAGTGGAAAATAAGCTTGAAGGAGAGGAAACAAGTCCAGCAGCTGCACTGCAGAGTGCAGAGCTGCTGTGTCCTCCAGCAAGTTAAACGGGGCCTTGAGGGAGCAAAGTGGTTTGAGGGAAGCAAGTTGGTTTGTAAAATGGTGCCTTTTGCACCTCGGCAC